TGGTGTGTGCTTCCTTGGGTCAAGTTTCTTTGGGACTCTCTGAGCTTTCTGGACTTCCTGGAAGTGTATTTCCTTTGCCAGATTGGGAAAGTTTTCCTTCATTATTTGTTCAAATAACTTTTCAATTTCTTGCTCTTCCTCTTCTCCATCACTCCTATGATTTGGATGTTGGAATGGTTAAAATTTTCCTGGTAGTTCCTGAACCTCTCATTTTTTTTTTTTGAATTCTTGTTTTTTCATTCTGTTCTGGTTGCATGTGTATTTCTTTCTTCTCCAAACTGTTAGATTTGAGTTCCAGTTTTCTTCCCATCACTGTTGTTTCCCTGTACATACTCCTTTTTTTCACTTTTTATAGCCTTCACATTTTCCTCTACTTTTATATTGTACTCAAGCATTTCTGTGAGCATCCTGATTACCAGTTTTTTGAAGTCTGCATCTGATAGGTTGCTATCTCTTCATTGCTTAGGTGTATTTTTTCTGGAGCTTTGATCTGTTGTTTTCATTTGGGCCATAATTTTTTTGTCTTGGGGCATCTGTTAGGTTTTAACGGTGGGGCCTTAGGTATTCACCAGAACAGGGCAACCTATGTCCCTGTGTTGTGGCACTGTGTGTGGCAGAGGGTTCTAAGGGAACAGTGCTGCTTGTTCAGCTCAGTTTTCTGTCAGTCACTTCGTCTGCTACCTCCAAGCAAATTTAGCCTTTCTGGTGCTGATTCTCAGGTGGATGGGCTTGTGTAGGTTCTAGGACCCTGTGGGTCTCTCCAGTGAATTCTCCTATGAGACTGGGAGTTTCTGCTGCTGCCTCAACCCCTATAGGTTTTTCAGTCAAAGACTTTTTGAGGCTGTGTTTCCCCACACTGGAACCCTGGGTTGCATGGTCTGTCTTGCTCCCCAGTTATTCCTCCCGGTTTATCTGCATGCAAATGTGGGACTGCCTGCTCTACCAGCCACCACCTTGTCTGCCCAGGTCCTCCAGCTGTTGCCTACGTGAAAGTCCTCTCCACTCTGGCTGCCTATCTCTGCTCCTACTACAGGTCTGAATGAATGTTTCTTCTTTAACTCCTTGGTTGTCGTACTTCCATGTAGTTCAATTTTCTGGTAGTTCTGGTTATTTTTTTGTTTTTAAATTTGTTGTCCTTCTTTTGGTCATGTGAGCAGATAAAGTGTATCTACCTACGCCTCCGTCTTGGCTGAAATACAGTTTGTCAGTTTCTTGTAAGTTTAAACTTATATTTAACATAGAATTTAGCTATTTCCCAACTAGATGTTTGTCCAAGAAAAATGAAATATACATCTACTTAAAGACCTACAGTTAGTTAATTAGGGTTAGTAACCTTATTTATAACAGTTTATTCAACTGTTGGAATGGATACACAAATTGTGGCATATAATGGAGTGCTACTCAGCAATTAAACTGAATAAATGTTAATAGATACAATAGTATGGTGAGTCCATATAGGCTTTATTGTGAGTACAATAGTATGGTGAGTCCATATAGGCTTTATTGTGAGTGAAAGAAGGCAGATAAAAAAGCCTACAAACCTTTTTTATACACAAAAATACTTCCTGGTGAGTGGGTTATCTTGTTTTATAACATTCAATTGTAATCTGGTTTGCTTTAAAGAACTAAGTTAAATAGATAACTAAAATATTATTTAATGGTCTCAGATTTAGAAGAAATATTTAGTGTTCTTCCCTAGAAACAATTTTGTTACATTGTATTGTGACAGCTGTCTTATCAATATGCATTTAAAAAACATCAAAATTGGTGAATTTTTGTGTAGCCATTTTAATATTGAAGGTGGAAGAAAATAAGCAACATTTTCAGCATGTTATGCTTTGTTATTTCAAGAAAGGTAAAAATGCAACTGAAATGCAAAAAAAAGATTAGTGCAGTGTATGGACAAAGTGCTGTGACTGACTGAACATGTCAAAGTGGCTTGGGAAATTTTGTGCTGGTGATTTTTCTCTGGATGATGCTCCACAGTTGGGTAGATCAGTTGAAGTTGATAACAATCAAATTGAGACATTAACTGAGAACGATCAATGTTATACCATGCAGGAGATAGCTGACATATTCAAAATATCTAAATGAGCATTGAAAATTATTTGCACCACCTTGTTTATATTAATGGCTTTAATGTTTGGGTTCTATATACGTTAAGTGAGAAAAACTATCTTGACCATATTTCCACATATGACTCTCTACTTAAATTTGGCAACAGGTGATGAAAAGTGGATAATTTATAATAATGTGGAAGGGAAGAGATCATATGGCAAGTAAGTGAACTACCACCAACCATACCAAAGGCCAGTCTTCACTCAAAGAATGTGATGTTGTGTATATGGTAGGATTGGAAGGGAGTCCTCTATTTATTAGCTCCTTCTGGAAAACCAAATGATTAATCCCAACAAGTACTGCTCCTAATTAGACCAACTGAAAGCAGTGTCCAGAATTAGTCAATAGAAAATGTATAATCTTCCATCAGGATAACACAACACTGCATGTTTCTTTGGTGACCAGGGAAAAACTATTAGAACTTATCTGGGAAGTTCTGATTCATCTGCCGTATTCACCAGACATTGTACTTTAGGATTTCCATTTATTTTAGTCTTTTCAAAATTCTCTTAATGGAAGAAATTTCAGTTCCCTGGAATACTACAAAAGACTCCTGGAACAATTCTTTGCTCAAAAAGATAAAAAGTTTTAGGAAGATGTAATTACGAAGTTGCCTGAAAGATGGCAGAAGGTAGTAGAACAGAATGGTGAATATGTTGTTTAATAAGGTCATTGGTGAAAATGAAAAATGTGTCTTATTTATTATTTCTGATGAGTCTGTATTGAATTATATTGGCTGTATTCTAATATAATTTGCTGTTTTAAAAAAAGTGAATAAAAAAACATTCAATTTTAACAACCTTAGTTACTTTGTTTCCCAACTTTTAAAAGACTGAAGTTTTTGAAAACAGGCATACTGAGAGCACTTAGGTTCAATAGGCCCTAGGGCACATAAGCTAACCAAAAACAACATAAGTAAGCATAAAAATTCAAAGGTTATTTATTATAGAGACAACTACCTTTTATATCTCAGTAATTTCTGATAAATTGACCATGTTATTATAAACACATACAAAAGTTGATATTCACTCATTTTATTAAAATATAATATACACTTAGTCATTTTAACAATTAAGCTAGGTGTACATACTTTTATGCTCAGTTTCAGAAATAGTATGCAGTATAATTTTAAAATCTAATTTATTGAGGTATAATTTACATACTGAAATTACCTATTTTTCAGTATATGAAATTTACATATACTGACATTAACCAATTTTAAATGAACAGTTTAAAGGTTTTGACTAATGTACTTACCATGTAAGTACTGCCATTTAAGATACAGACATTTTTTATTACTCCAGGAGGTTTTCTCATTCTCCTTTCTATCTGTTCCCCTACACCTATCCCCAGGAAGCCACTAATTTACTTTGTGACATCAAGGGTTAGTTTTGCCTTTTCTAGAATTTCATATGAAATGAATGTACCCATACCCAATGTACAGTATGTACCGATTTGTGTCTGGCTTTTTTTTTCTCAGCGTAAATATTTTGAGATTTGTGTATGTTGTGTTCATCAGTACTCTTTTTTACTGTTGAACGGTAATCCATTGTGTGTACATATTACAATTTATCTATTTACCTGTTTCTAGATACTGAGTTATTTCCAATTTTTGGCTTTTATGAATGAAGCTGCTGTTAGTATTTTTGTATGAGTTTTCATTTCTCTTGTGTATAAATATCCAGGAGTAGAATTGCTAGATGTTATGGAAGTATAAATTTAACTTAATTTTTTAATGTAAAAAGTATATTTAAAATATAAACATAAATATATTTAATTTTTTAAAGGTAAAAAGTATATATTTAACTTTTTAAGGACTTGCTAAACTTTTCCCCAAAATGGTTGTGCCATTTTATGTCTTCACCAGCAATATTTGAGTGTTCCATTGCTCTATATCTCCATCAACAACTGATGTTGTCAGTCCTTTTAATTTAAACATTCTAGTCAGTGCATAGTTGCAATATAAGTTTAAAATATTATTTCCAAGTAGTTAAAATTAAAGAAAAGTTTAAAATTGATGACTGATAATCTTTTTATTGTTTATAAATTTGATGATCCAGAACAATTATTTTCCTAAAGCTTTTATATAATTGAGATTATAAAACAATATAAAGTTGCATCACATACTTTTCAGCTTTATTGTAATCCTCAGTTAAGGCTAAGCAAATAGTTCCAGTTGTTTAAAAGAACATCAGATAATTTGATACTTCTTTTATTTTCAATTTATTCCAAATTTTACCAACGAAACTGAACATATTTAAACAGTGATATACATTTTTAGGGGGAAAAGTATATATTCTAATGATGAAAAATATTCTGATAATGATAGCCATCATTAATTGAGTACTAATTATATGCTAGATATTATGCTAAGGGCTTTATATATATAATCTCATTTAGTTTGTACAAAGTGAAGTATGTATTCTTATTTTTATTTTATAAGAAGGCAGGTATGGCTTTCGAGATATGAATTTTACAGTGTTAAAATAACTTGAATCAGTAGATTAATAAAAAATGAGTGAATTAAAGGAGGATAATCAAATAGAAAGTGGGTTTGTTTTTTATGGACTCTAAAATTTTTTAACTTAGCTTTCATTGGATTATGAAAAAATGAAAATATGTACTTTAAAGAACTGAATGACTCCTAAGTTTTCCACAGTAAGTTGTAATTTAACTTTCTGATTCTAGTATTTTTTGCCATAAAATATAAAATATGTTTGTTATTAGTATAGAATTAAATATTCTCAAGCATATGCCATCATAAGGATTTAAAAACTTTTGTTATGCTGAATAAAAATTACATATAACAGAATTTTAACATGGTATTCAGTATGTGAATGATTTAATGAAGTATTTGAATTTTTCTTTTTGTTTGGTTTCAGGAAAGTTATATTCAGAAGAAAAAGGAATTATGGGGCATCAGTATCTTTATTGCAGCAGTTGAGCTAGATGAAATGCCATTTACTTTTACTGAGCTACAGAAAAACATAGAGATCAGGTAAAATTTTTTACATCAGTATTGCCTCTAACATTAAAGAAAATTACATCTGAATGTTCCTCTTAAGCACTAGGGAATTAGTGAGAAATGTGAAAACTAAATGAAACGCAAAGAGGAATTAGGTCAACCAGTGAACTATATCATTCTCTTTTGGAGCCCTTAATGAACGTATGTTTATATTGTAATTTCGAAAAATTTTAGCAGTTTGTGTCCTGGGGAAATTTTTGTGTCTCTCACTATCTTTAAACTTTCTTAAATGTACCTGTTGCTAATATGGGTAGAAAAAGCAAAGATTTATAAAGTAGCCTTATTTAAACCTTTATAAAACTAGCATCTTAAAGGAATTTAGTTAAGATTTATTTAACGGTGTTTAATATAAAAGATGTTATATGCCTTTTGAGACTATATTCAATTAGATATTCATTACAATACTTGTCCTAATAATTACTTAATGTTTGTTTTTGAGTTTATAAAACTAATAAGAAGAATTAACTAATTTGTTTCCAGTAACTCATGAACTTTATATTGAGAAGCCTTCTGAGACTTCCGATCATTTCATTGGCAACATGTTTATAAAATGTAACAGTTTAAATAATTTTACCAAGAAATAATAGTATATATTTCTTCTTAGATAAAGCCATCTACAATGAAATGTAATTAGTATTTTATTTAAATGAGATACATCAGATTGTTGCATTTTTGGTCATACTTTTTCTTACTACTACTATACAGAAGTGGAAACATAGGCATTGTATATTCACATTTAACTTGTTGCAGTGACTTTGAGCTGGTGTGCTCCAAGATTTTTTTTTATAACATGCAATACCTGACTGTTTAGTCAGGAGGACTCACCTTTTTTTCCTTAGATGGTCAAGTAAAAAAAAAGACACAGCCAACACAATAATAGTAATTCATTGTGAATGAATCAAAATTATACCTATTTTTTGTCAGAATTTTAGTATTTATGTGTGCCATGAGATGAAAAGGATTAAGAATCACTGACCTATTGAATTAGAATTGGTTTACCTCTTAGAGCTTTTACAGTTTATTAAATAAGCTTTATTAAATAAAATCTCTAAATCAAAGTAGTTTTTATGTAGCTGAAAAGTAATCTAATTATATCAGTAAATTCTTACATTAATTTGTTTATTCATTTAGCAAATGTTTTAGTGGCTTCAGAAGAGAGGAAGGAATATGGATGTTTGGGTTAAGAGTTTAAATCTGGGCTCTGTTGTTTTACTTGGAGCAGATTGCTGAGTGTTAGTCTCAAATTCCTCACCTGTGAAGTGAAAGTTATTAGCTACCTCAAAGAATTATGAGAATTAAATAACTTATAATGAAGAGAGAGGTAACGTTTATAGTTAAATTCCTATAACACCTTAGGCACTGGTGGGGGTCTTGATTTCTTTCATTCTGTAGCCCCGTCCACTGCATACCTGCTGTTCCCATACTGCGTGCCCCCCCCCCCCATCACACACACACAAAAGGAAAGAAAGAAAACTTAAAGAACTGTTAGGCACTATGATACTGTGCTAGGTTCTGATGATACAGAGGCAAGAAATAGTCTCTGACCTCAAGAAACTCAATTCAGTGGGGAAGATAAAATTAAACAGATGAATGTAATGCACTATAATACAATGTTATATACCTATACATAGACTACTAAATAAATATGACAGAGAAAGCCTTCTGTCTATAAAATGGAAGAATTTTTCTGTCAAAGCTTTTCCTATAATTTTTTTCCTGATTATTTACAGAGCAACCCTGATTTATAAAGTGGGCACGTCGTAAATATAGTAATGAATTTGGTACAGTTTTTTCTTAGACATCTTTTAGTGTTCTGTTAATTATCCAGGAATGTTGTCTGGACCACTGCTTCTTAAATGTGCTCTGGTACAGGACTAGTTTTTTTTTTTTTTATTTCCAATATGTCATGGACTGATATTTTCTTTAAATATAATATAAATCAAAATGAAAAATGAAACAAAGATTATATTAGCCATAGAATCAAACTTTTTGTCAGATTCAGTAGGTATAAAATTAGTGTCAAATTGCCATAAAATGCTTACTCTCAGTTTCTGTACTTATTTATTTTTGGACTGGTAACAAACAATTTACAGACCAATATCAATTTATTCTAGAATATGTAGTTATCTACAGAATTATACAAATATCTGTGTGTCTTAATTTTGGCTTGTTATGCTAGCCTGCCTGCTTGTCTACTCTTCCTGTCTTTTTCGCCTCAGAGGAGGGCTACAAAAGGAATAGACAGTCAAGGTAACTGTAGAAAAAGAAGGCTTTGTAGTAACAGTTCACAATTTTCATGGTGCTCCATGGATAGGTAATGCCGTATATCTCATAAACACGAGCTGAGAGTGGTTCTTGAATGAATGCTATTCTAAGGTTGATTTTTTTTTCCTCTGGATGTATCTGTACATTTGCTCCATTCTCTTTTCTTTTTTTTATGATTTTATTTATTTATCTTTAGAGGAGAAGGGTAGGAGAGGAGAGAAATATCAATGTATGGTTGCCTCTCATGGGTCCCCTACTGGGAACAGGCCTGCAACCCAGGCATGTGCCCTGACTGGGAATCAAACCGCAATCCTTTGGTTTGCAGGCCTGTGCTCAATCCACTGAGCTACACCAGCCAGGGCTCCATTCTCTTTTCTATGTAGCAGTCTGATCATCTATTCCATATCATTTCTACCCTCCTTTATTTGCTTTTCCACATAGCTTGTTACAGCCCTAATTCCTTCTGTACCAAAAGAACTTTTATTCTTTTGGGTTTTGTGCCTTTGCTGATAGCTGAAGCTTTTATTTTTTCAGTTCTCAAGATATATGTCTGAATGGTCTAGCCTGTTTTTTTAGAATGAATCCTATAACTATTTAGTTGCTAGACAGCCTATTGATGGGTCTGGTGACTCTCCTTGGGGGAAGTCCAGAATGGGGATTCAGTCTGAACAGGCTAGGATAGTATACCAATGTAGAGAAGTAGGTAGCTTTGAAGATGGAAGATTTTTACATACTGAGAGACTGACTGAATCAATAAATTAAAGATAAATGGATTCCAAGCTTCCTCATTGTCAAAGAAGAGTTATAAACATGGTCAAGAAAACCTTGGTGTCAACCAATTAGTTTTATGTTAGAATTGGATAAATGAATGTGAATTTATGGTTTTAAAAATATATCAGTAGATACAGAAATAAATATATATGTATGTGTATAACCATTTTTAACATTCTTGATGATAAATAGATGTAGGCATAAGTATATAGATATAGAGGTGTAGGTTGAAGATTAATGGGTTTTTTTCTTCTTCAAATTCTAGGAAAATAAAAAAGTAATTTCTTCCAAAGGTTATAATAGGGATTTGTGTAGAGTTAATAATCTTTTGAGTTGAAATGTCTGTGCCTTTAAAATGAAATAAAATAAAAATTTAAAATTACAATTTACTTTTTTTCTATTCTTTGCTTTGTAGTGTCTACAAATTCTTTGACTTACTAAAAGAAGTTGATACCAGTACCAAAGTTGATAATGCTATTGGAAGACTGTTGAAGAAGTATAATGTATTATGTGCACTCTACAGCAAATTAGAAAGGTAAAGTAAAATATTTTATTAGGATTACATCCTGGTTTTTCATGTCACTGGTCATGATTAAATTCCATCTGGGAACTATTATATATTTAGTAAAGTTATCAGATTTTACCCCTTAGACTTGTCCCCTTTTCATTCTTAGCTTTTAAAAAATTTATCCATTGGTATGCATTCCGAATATTTCCTCCAGAAGTTTTTCCTATCCTTTCATGTTTCCATTTGTTTTATGAAACTTTAAACTTAGTTCCCACTTTAGCCTTCTCTGCTAGAAGACTTCTAGTTCTGAACAGAAGAGTGAACTAAATGTAAATTTTCCCTAATGGTGTTAATCTAATTTAGAAAGAGAAACATATTACCAATGGGCGGTATATATACCCTATTCTACCAAGCTATGATTGTATTCCCAGTGGTGGTTTAGAAGACTCTTCATTACTGTTCAACTGGGAGAATGATGAAGTTCAGATAAAGTTGGGTTAAGTTTTTAATATACTTTTCATCCAAGTCCCCAATCCTAGTATTGCAGTCCTTAATTTGGCATGTGCCTGGAACTGTGTTCATTTTGGTGCTTATTTCATTGGGTGAAAGGATATGAAAGTTAATGTTTTAGTCAAATTAGCAGGTGTAAGGGGAGAAGGGAAGAAGGAGCATGTTCTTAAATATTTGAGGGAGAATGAATATGGAGATAGACCTGAAAAGAAACATTTCAGAAGGATATTTCTATTTTTTCTTCTTTTTGGTTAGTATGTCAGTAAAACTTCAGAGGTGTGATGGAAAATGAGAAAAGTAGCAAATTCAAAGATTGGCTTAAGGCTTTTTGAAGGAATTTTTCTTGTTCCTTTTTTTAAACTGTAGCATTGGTTGTTATTGTTTTCTTTTGTCTTTCTTGTATAGAGTAGAAGCTCTTTGTACAGGAAAAAGGAAACCATAAAAATATTTTAGTTATTAAAATATAAATTAAGTAATTTGCATAAGGAATGCAAATTAATTATAGAATACCTGGAAAACACAAAAATGGCATAAATAAGAAAATATGAATGATGCAAACCTTTAACAGTGTAGATAATATTTCTTTTCTTTGAATATTATTTTACATAGAGGCGATCACATTATAAAAATAATTTTTGTCTTGCACCTTTCTCCTTTTTTTTAACCTAACAGGGACTTTCTAAATACTTTTCTGTCCCTCAAATTTGTTTACAAACTTCTATCTCTTATTGTGGAACTTATCCTAATGACATTATCCTGAGCACAAAAAAGTTCTAGAGATTTCTATCACAATATTATTTATTCCACTGAAAAAATTGGGAACCTATTTATGCATGACTGGAATAAGCAATAAAGTATAATAAATATAATCTAAATATTAAATATTATAAATTAAAATTTGATGAGGAGTATTAACAATATGGAAAAATTCTTCTAATGTTAAATAAATAAAGCAGGGCATACTATTGGGTGGGTCAGAAAGTTTGGAAGATGTTTACCAGCATCCTGGTATCTATCCGCTAGAAGCCAATAGTAGGAGATAGCCAACATAACTTAAAATATCCAGATCAATAAAGTTATTGGTGAAAGTGAAAATGTGTCTTTTATTTTACAGAAAAAAACTAAATGCATTTTTCTTAGCCAACCCAATATAACTGTAAAAGGAAGAAACCCAGACACTAATGCATTGAATGAAATGACTAGAAAGAAGTATACCAAAGTGTTAATGGAGGCTTTGTATAAATAACTTACATATGTATTACCTCTATAAAAAATAGGCAAAAAACTCTAAGCAAATATTTAAGAAAAACCTATTCTGTAAAGACCGGTACTTCAAAATCTGGTACCAGAAATAATCATCAGATTCTTTCCAAGTATAGAATTTTGGTGAGAATTATTTGAAGTATAATCCTGATCTTTTTTCCTGCTGTAATAATTTTACCTGGATACTTCTAGGTGTTTTGCTCTGCTTTATGAGATTTCTGCTTTAAGAAATCTACTTGGATATTTGTTTGTGTTTTACCTCTTTCCTTTATCCGTCACACCTTCTAGTGATGCACTGTATTTTTGATTTCTTGGAAACTGAGGGAGAAAAGGTTAGAAAATTGAATATTATTTGGACAGTTCTGAAGTTTTTAGGTTCTTCCTAACTTCCATTCTCTTTGTTTTTCTTTTAGGCCAGTGTAAACGCTGGTTATTGCAGGTTAGAAATAGGATGCAAGGTCAGAGTTCACAAAGAATTTTCTTTAAAGTCTGGTATGATGCTTTACCAAAAAAAAAAGGGAGGCCCCACTAGAACTTAATGTTGAAGAGAATGTAATTTTTTGAGTCATATCTGGAGTCTAATAATGTAGGCTCCAGTGGGTATTGTATGACCTTGGACAGGTGAATTATCTAACTTCGGTGCTTAGTTTTCTAATGTGTAAATTGAGTTCATAATAGTGCCTACTTTGTTAGATTTTATAATGTATTAAATGAGATACTGCATAGACAATACTGAGTCCAGTGCCATAATAACCTTCCCATGAACATTAGTTTTCAAAACAAAAGGAAAAATTTGTGGCTCTCCACAAATTTTGTGGCTCTCGAATTTGTAAAACTCTCCATACCATATTGCTCCCCTTAAAGAACCACAGTGACATTGGCAACCCAAGGGTATTAGAAGTCCTGTGTAAGTAAATCTTTTGAATCACTAAAATTTGGCATTTTCTTTATTTAAAAAAATTTGTATATTGTTGTTCAGTTACACTTGTACTCATTCTTCCCCCCAACCCCTTACTCTCCTTTGCCTTACCCACACGCATCTCACACAACCAGACCTCCACTCCAATCCCCATTGTCTTTGTACATGGCTCTTTTACACATGTTCCATGATCCCTCTTCCCCTCTTTCCCCATCACCACCTTCCCCCCTCCCTTCTGGTAACTTGGGTCTTCCTCGTATGGAGTCACATGAGTTCTTTGTATATTTTGGAGATCAAACCCTTGTCTGAGGTGTCATTGACAAATATATTTTCCCATACAGTTGGTTCCCTTTTCATTTTGCTGATTTTTTTTAGCCATGCAGCAGCTTTTTAATTTGATGTAGTCCTCATTTGTTTCTTCTTTCCTTTATGTCCCTTGCTCTAGGGGACATATCAGTTAAAATATTGTGCATGGAATATATGAAGTTTTCCTGCCTATGTTCTCCTGTAGGACTTTTATGGTGTCATGACATGTATTTAAGTCTTTTATCCATCTTGAGTTTATATTTGTGTTGGTGGTCGAATTTCTTTTTTTCCTTTTTTTTTTGCATGTAGTTGTCAAGCTCTCCTAACACCATTTGTTGAAGAGGCTCTATTTACTCCATTTTATGCTCCTGCCCCCTTTGTCAAATATTAATGAAACATAGAGACTAGGGTTTATTTCTGGGCTGTCTATTCTGTTCCATGATCTTTCTCTCTGTTCTTATCTCCGTACCACCCTGTTTTGATTACAATGGCCATATAGTTTGATATCAGGTATTGTTATCCCTCCTACTTTGTTCTCGTTTCTGAATATTGCTGAGTCTATTTGGGCTCTTTTATGGTTCCACATACATTTTTGAAATGTTTGTTCAATATCTGTGAAATATCTCATTGGTATTTTACTAGGGATTGTGTTGAGTCTATAAATTGCTTTGGGTAGTATGGACATTTTGATGATGTTAATTCTTCCAATCCATGAACATAGTGTATACTTCCACTTATTTTTGTGTTGCTTAATTACTTTCTTCAGTGTTGTGTAGTTTTCTGAGTACAGGTCTTTTACCTCATTGGTTAGGTTTATTCCTAGGTAATTTTTTTTATTGTTGCTGTAGGAAATTGGATGTTTCTCCTGAATTCTGTTTCTGATATTTCATTGTTGGTGTATAAAAATGTTGGTGTACTTAAATTTCTGAATATTGACTTTGTATCACACTGTTTGCCACATTTATTTATTATGTTGAGTAGCTTTTTGGTGGAGTTTGTTGGGGTTTTTTATGTACACTATCATGTTGTCTGTAAACAATGATAGTTTTACTTCCTTCTTTCCAATCTGGATGCCTTTTATTTATCTTGTCTGATATCTATGGCTAGAACTTCTAATATTATGTTGATAGAAATGGTGAAAGCAGACAACCTTGTCTAGTTCCTGATATTAGTGGGAAAGCTTTTATTTTTGCCCATTGAGTGTGATGGTGACTGTAGGTTTCTTGTACATAGCCTTTATTATGTTGAAGTATGCTCCCTCTACTCCCACTTTGCTGTGTGTGTTTATCATAAATGGTAAACACACCATTTATGGGTGCCATACTTTATCAAATGTGTTTTCCAAATCTATTGATATGATTGTGTGATTTTTATCTTTCCTTTTGTTTATGTGATATATTATGTTTTCTGATTTGCAAATATTTTACCATCCTTGCATTTCTGGGATGAACCCCACTTGATCATGGTGATGATCTTTTAAATGTATTGCTGGATGTGGTTTGCCAATATTTTGTTGAGAATTTTAGTGTCTGTGTCACAGGTGGCAAACACAAGGCCCATGGGCCGAATCCGGCCCTCAACCTTGTTTTATCTGGCCTGGCACCTTATTTCTATTTGGCAGCAGTGCCAAGCTCTCACTTAACTGTTAAGGAGCAGTTATATTTATACAGTCCTAAAATGACATTTGGCCCTGTGAAGACAGCTCCTGGTGAAAATGAGTTTGACCCCCCCTGGACACATGGACTCTATGTTCATCAGAGATATTTTTCTGTAGTTTTCTTTCTTTATTGTGTCTTTATCTGGTTTTGGAAAGAGGATGATGCTGGACTCTTAAAAAGAATTTCAGAGTCTTCCCTTTTCTTAGATTTTTTGGACTATTTTGATAAGGATAGGGGTTAGCTCATCCTTAAATGTTTTACAAAATTCTCCTGGGAAACTGTTCAGTCCAGGACTTTTCTGTGTTGGGGGTTTTTTGATTGCTGCTTCAGTTTCAGTAGCTGTTATCAATCTGTTCAGACTTTCTTTTCCT